GTAGTAACTCTACATGCTTTTACATCATATAGCACTGTGATAAGTTAATAAAGATCGCATTGCAATTATTGTAGACTTGGTGAATCAGAAATTTTTACTGTTCATAATATGCAGGGTTTTAAAATATTTATTTTATTTATTTATGGATACAAAGAACTAGGGTGTAGGCCATAGGTGTGGGGAGTCAGGGGGTGGTGAGAGGATTCACCAGAGATAGAGTAGGGAATGGAACAGGCAGAAATACTGAAATACACTGCTGAGGGGAGCAGTGGACAGGACAGGAGAGGTCTGCTGCACCATGCGGATGAGCTTCCTGGTTGAGGATCAAACTCGTACCTCCGTGGCTGGCAATAGCTTGATAGTGCTGAGACTTTAACCCCTGTAATACCAAAGAGGCCTATAATATGCAGTTTTAAAGAAAGGTAGAAAACCACAGATCACATATGCAAGCTCAGGAGTGAAAGAGAACATTTCCAGGAAATATCTATGTGTTAACACAGTGGCACTACAATTCATAAAGTGAATATTGGTGTGTGAAGTCATTCTTCTTAGATATGAACTTGCTCTTTACTGGGAGCTAAAGTTCATGAAAGCTGTTTCCTAATGGGGAAAAAAAAGATCCCTACTAGGGGATGGTTACTTGATTCATGTCATTCTCCATAAGGCTAGAATGACACGCAAGAGTCATAAGGCCCAGGATATTGATGCCACACTTACGCTATTAATGGAGGAGCGTGGGAGCACCCTAGAGGGAAAGAAAGAAAGGCCGGGACATCTGCAGCAGGTTTTCCAGAAACAGTGTTAACCTAAGGTAACCCAGTGGCACTACAGCCACTCCATCAGGTGAGCAGAATTACAACAGCTGGTTTGGAGCCAATTGTGGTTAGGTGGAAAGAGAACTTGTTTCAGAACCACAGAAGACTTGAGTTAAGATCCTACCTCTTCTACTTATTTCCCCTGAAAAAAAATTAATGAGGATAACAGCCTCTCAGAATTTCATTTCCTTTTTGATAAAATGAAACTCTAATTCCCCAGTAATGATTTCACATGCCAATTTATGGAAAACTATTAAATAGCTGATCCTGGCTTTTTCGAATGCTTGCTGCATCGGTGAATGAAAGAGAACCGAAAGCTCACCAGGAAAGAGGCATCTTTCAGAGGGATGCCAAAGTATATGGCTATAGCAATTCCGTGTCTCAAGAAGTAGGATTGTGAAGAACTTTCGTTCTGAGGTTAGACTGTTCAGGTTTGAGTTTTGCCTTTGCCTAGTTGTGTAACAGTAGGCAGGTTGCTTTACTTGAACATATTTTTAATCAAATGACTATTGGCTTTTCACATTTTCTAGATTTCAAATTAAAAGTCTTTGAAATAAGCACCTGGACCTACCACCTTAGGTTTGCCTCAGAATTCTGATCCCTATCCTTCACCATACTACAATGCATATGTGATTCCCCACCTTCTCCCCTCTTCCCTGGTGATAACCACTAATTTGATTTTATAATCTAAAAGTTTACTTTTATTTCATTTAGTTGACTCATTTGCTTGGCTTCTTTATGACCCTAAACGTGAAATCGTATGGTAAGTTTCAGTCTCTGGCCAACCATTTTGCTGCAAATGGCAGAATTCCCCCTTCTTTAAAACTGAGTAGTGATCTTCTGACTATTTACTTACATTAGCTTTCCTCATCTTTATATGGGCATAGTAATCATGTCTATTCTGTGGGATTTATGATGGAGATTAAATGGAGTAACGAATCTAACATAGTAAATGCTCACTAATATTAACCAAGACAAGCTGCATCTTCACAGCAAGGTCAGGAAAGAGTAATTCAGTGCTACTTTGTAGCCAGAGAGCATGATTTGAGTTTGCTGTAGAGTAACTAACCCTACACTTTTTTGTATCCTACATGGATATAGTATCCAGATGGCTTATAAAGAGTTTTAGTTTATCAGTGTTTTGTGTGTGTGTGTGTGTGTGTGTGTGTGTGTGTGTGTGTGTGTGTAACCCACTCTTTGAACTTTAATATTATAAGCTAATTTATGCAGGCTAAAGGTCTGTAATAGAAGGGTAAGTCTGTTCTATGGTGAATCATCACCTTTTCTTTGGATAGAAAAGGTAAAAATACTAACTTCTGGGGCAATCATGCTTAAAATAGGCTACATGTGACTCACTTAACACCCCAAACAGTAAAATGTCACCTTAGAGGGATAATGGTCATTCCAATGTAAAATGGGGTCTTCAGACCTCATGGTTTGTTTTATTAAATTCTTTAGCAGTATTATCAGAGATAAGAGTTGGAAAAGGGAAGCTAAATTTGACACATCAGAGAAAAATGACAATTTGTAGAATAAAAGAATAACAAAATGGATCCAGACAGTGGCAGTTTTAATTTTTTTTTTTCTTACTTTTAAACACTGTCAGGTTCTAGTAGAACCTAAAGTGACTGACACTTCAGGAGAGGAAAGCTTCCCCCTTGAATGTCTTTAAAATCCATAATAATAATAATATAAAGTGCATCTGGGCCTTGCCTTCTGCTGCAGCTCTTGTCTGGCTCCCATCCAGGGCTGTCAGGCTACTCTGAGTGCCAGTGATTCATATCCCAGCACCCTTTTATCTGAACGTTGCAGTGTCTTTTCTTTGTACTTTGGCAGTGATGTTACCTTGATGTTCAAAAATCTTTTAAAAGCAACACAGGCTTTTCTTGTATCTTGACAAATCGTTGTCTGCCAGTAATGAAGAAAAAGTAAACCTGGTCCTGATCATTGTAAATATAAAGAAATAGATACTTTGGAGGGTTTTTGTTTTTAAAAATGGTTATGTATTTTGTGACCCTCTAACTGAACTGATCTGTCTTTCCTTACTCCCCTTGTATAAATCAGCATGCTGCTTTTCAGAAGCTTGGCTCAAATATAGTTTCTATAAATCATTTGATATTTGAGGTCAAGATTGAGAATTTTTGAGATGATTTTTTTGGGGGGATTAGAAAAGAAAACCCAAGGCGTTATTTTTATTACTGTTATAGATTCTTACTGCTACTTAAAATCAGTGTTTTCTTATTTACCTATTTTAATGTGCTTTTATACATCCTGATATTTTGCATCAGCTGCTGCTTTTCTTTACTTTCTCAAATGACACTTGAAGTAGCAAGGCAAATTTTCCATTTTAGTCCAACTTAACATATGAGAAAACTGAGGCTCAGGATGGTATCCGACTCTCCTATGAAATCAGCAACAGATTCATCCTGAAGTGTAGGTCTGTTCACACAAAATAAGTGTTGCTTCCACTTTTACCTTGTATCTCAGAAAAGAATCTTAGTTTTGTCAATGACTATATAGCATCCCTTGTCAAAAGTATTCTACTAGTCACTACAAACCATTCAAGGTCTTTGCTCTGCTTAGATGCAACATTTTAAGGAGGATACTGGAAGAAAGGAGGACTTGAGAATGTATAGAAAATAGAATGAGGAGGATCCTTGGATCTAGACCAGAAATAACTAAGAGAATCAGGGTTTTCTAGTCTAGAGAAAGAAGGGTACAGAGATACGTAGCTGACATCTCCAAATATTTTATGGACTACCTGGTGGAAGAAGAATTAGATTTTTGCTTTGTAATTTCAGGTAGCAGAAGTAGGATCACTGGATAGAAATTACACAGAAGCAGATTTATGCTTAGTATAGGAAGGAACTTTTTTCTAACATTTAGAGATGTCCAAAAATGGAATAGAAGTGTTCATGCTGAGACTGTCTGACTTGAAAATTATATGGCTTTATGGGCGTTGTATTTCAGCAGTAACAGTTTCATAATGAACATTCTCAGGGCTCAGAGCATTTCCTTACTAAAAAAAAAAGGGGGGGATTTTGTAGGCATTTACACACTGGTTTTAGAAAGTTGCCCACATAAGAACTCCTGTTGCTCATGTTTTATATATGTGTGTGTATATATATGTGTGTGTGTGTGTGTGTGTGTGTGTGTGTGTATACATATAGATATATATGAAATTGATGGGGACATATATTAGGTTAAATAAGCAAACTTTTTGAATGTAAGAATTCAAGCAGACAATGTAATACTGTAATGAGTGTGTGTATGTGTGCACACGTGCATATGATTGCTTTGACTGTAACTATTTCTGGATGAAGTGGTCATGGCTCTTGCTAATTTTGTATGGCTTGTTATTTCCATTACTCATCTGTCCTTAAAACACAGCCTTAAAACACAACCTATACAATTAAAAGAAATAGGATAGGGGAAGTCATTGATTCACATGGCTTCAATTTCCTTAATATGGAAAGGAATAAATAGGACATCAAAAAAGAAATCAACTAAAATGAGTTTGTGGCACGAGCAGATATGTAAGGGAGGTACCTAAAATCAGGAGTCTCCAGGCCAGGTCCGCATTAGCTGCTTCATCATTATGCCTTAGCATTACTATTTTCCTGTTAAGTGGAATCTGTTATTCCAGGAATTTTCTTTCCAAATTTTACATTTTATGATCCTAATTCTCTCAGTTTTATGACTCTAATTCTCCACATTTGCATAGAAAATAGAGCATGCTCTTAATTATAAGGAAAACAACTCAGTCATTTATTTGTTTTTAAATTACTTATTCATTTATTCAACAGCATTTATTAAATGAAGCACTATTCTATACATATGAAAATGTCCCTTCAATGTATGGGGTGTAGAAGTGAAATAAAACCAACACATCAGTACTTGTCATACTAAAGTAAAAGGGAAGCTCTCCATTTGCAGTGGATTTTCAACCCAATACAGTTGAATTCTTCTGCATAGTGACTTGTTGCCTAAATTTGGAAGAGCAGCATTTACGCCATGCCCCAAATTACAGTGCATGATGTATTACAACAAATGCATTATAATAAATACAGTATGGAGGGCTACAATAAACCTTGTAGGCCTAGAATCACGACAGGGCTCAGGCTCTGATTCCAAGCAGAGTGCCTTTCCTCTATGAATAATCTCATCAATTTCTTCCCCCAACAGATTTCAGAGGGGCGACTACCACATTGATGTGTGCATCAATGACTACCTGGATGTCTTCTGCCCGCACTATGAGGACTCGGTCCCCGAAGATAAGACGGAGCGTTATGTCCTTTACATGGTGAACTTTGATGGCTACAGTGCCTGCGACCATACCTCTAAAGGGTTCAAGAGATGGGAATGTAACCGGCCTCACTCTCCAAATGGACCGCTGAAATTCTCTGAAAAATTCCAACTCTTCACACCCTTTTCTCTGGGATTTGAATTCAGGCCAGGCCGAGAATATTTCTACATCTGTGAGTATAAAGAGATTTGTCGTGGTATCACACGGTGTAAGCACCCACACTAATTCCGTGTTACAGAGACGTGCAGGTTACTGGACTCTGCGTTCCAGATGTCTCCTTGTAAACGTATGCATCAGGATCCCTAGATATGTTAGCTGGGAATTGAGAGCACAAATTAGATTAAAGACACAGCACCTCTCCCCCAATGAAATTGTGTGTTAGCCTGTTCAGTGAACCACTGCTGACTTGTACATCTTTTAGATGAAAATGTGAGGACTTCTCCAAAGCTCAGGAAAAGCAAAAAAGGATTCCTCAAAAAAAATAAACAAATAAATAAATAAATAAAGGAAATAATTAAATTTACATAGCTTGGAGTCATTGGATTTCTTATTCAGGTGTCAGCAATATCCTTTCAATCAACCGCATTTTCAGTGGAGAAAGCCAAACTCCTGCAAATGTCAGCATGCTGACGATAAATACTCTTTGCACCAAGGAGAAAAGACAATTATTACGAGCAGCTGTGTCTTTAAACAGGCAAATTCATGAAGAAACATCTAGAAAGGGCTCCAAGGGAACCAGTATAAGTGAGTTTCCCACCTGTGAGCTTCAGTGACTTGGTCCTGAGAGAACTCTGAAACATTCTCAGCAGATTCTGTATTAATCACATTGCCACGGCCTTATTTTTCCTGTATTGGTTCCACTCTCACTGCTTTCGACACCACACTCTTCTAGGGAAAGGCTCTCAAACATTGCTGTAAATTCCCTGGAGACTTTGTTGTAATGCAGATTCTGATATTGGGGTCAGAGGTGGAGAATGGGGTCCATGTGGAGAATGTTCCCATGGATGCCGACGCCACTCACTGGTTTTGAGTTACAGCAGAGTTCTAGGTGGTATCTAATTTAGACAGCTTGTGGTGTATCTGGACTTTCATTTCAGTATCAAATATTTAAAATACCTGCCCTTTCCCTTTGCTGTCAGTTGAAGGTGTTATAAGTTTATTGTGACTGTATTTCATCACAGTAACATTGGTATACAACACCTTATAAGTTTCAGGCAAAAATATGTTGTACATTTAGGGATGAGCATATTATGTTCATTAGGGTGGGGGTCCAAGATCAAAAGACATTTCCTGTTCCCTAGGAGGGAGCCACTAGTGGGGGGCAGGCATGTAAAGAGGCAGGTACAGTGTAACATACATGTACTAAAGGAGGGTGAGTGTAGGCAGCTGTGGGGCCAGGGGGAGTCTGCACCTC